TATCGAGATTGTTAAGATCTAGCACATTTTCACAAAATAAACTAAGAAATCACACAAGACATGCATATAACACATAGATCTACACATTTTACTTGCATTCTCCCCCAAAAATCATATGAAAACCAAAAACAAGGGGGTATGAACTCACCTTTGCTTTGATGTTTCAGTTTTGAAGAAGAACTGGAAGAAGTTGATGTGATTTTGACTCTCACACGCTCCTTGAGTGGGTTTCGAACTTATGAAGTTTATAAGGTGTTAAATCATGAAATAAAGCTTCATAAGAGAGTGTTCTTAGGTTAAGGATGAAAATAAAAGACTTAAATATGATAACAACGTACCAAAGAGTGATGATCTTGATGAGAACCTCTTGAAGTATACTCTAATTCTTGAAAATTTAGAGGAAAATGTAGGAGTGTTCTTGTGAGTGTTTGAGAGATTATTGGAGAGAGATTGTAAGTGAAGTGTGTGTATCTTTGGCTGAGAATGAAAGAAGAGAGGAAGAGAGACGAGTCTTGAAGTATGTTGGGTTATACAAGTTTACATAGAAGTATGAGAGACAATTACCTTGATGTATGGTGAATAATATGGAGGTGGCACCTCCAAACTCAACCCCCCCCCCCCCCCCAATTTAATTTTTTATTGTTAAATGGTGTTTGGACGAGAGTTGCATTAAGAAGGAGAAGATGATTCATTTTTGCCCAAATCTTGATCCTTACTCAAAATCATGAGGCCCATAAAGAAGTTTTCAGCCCAATGGTCTTATTAATTGGTTCACAGCCCATTGTGGAAGAAGAAAGGGTTTTTATGGTCCATTAGGGTTAATTGGAGTTGTTATGGCCCAATAAGGCCTATTAGGGTTAGAATGAAAAATTCTAGACCCAAAAGGTCCAAAATGTTATATATTTATGAATTGTGTCCATTTAGGATCCAATTAGGGTTTCTTAGCCCACAATAATTGAATTGAATGCTTATTGGTCCATTAGGCCCAATAAGGAAATCCTAGTCCAATATGGACTCAAACCGGGATATTTTTAGGGTTTTTAGACTCTTTATTGAACATGAGAGGTGGATTTAAATGAGCATTGAGTGATAATTACTTAGAATATATGTTTTACAATAGTTGAATGGTTACAAGAGAATAGAATTTCCTAGCTAGAATGCTAGTTGTGACACATACTATATTATAAACGAAGTATTTTTTCTTTCACCATATTCATTTGAAACTCGCATATATTTTTCCTTTCATCACATTCATTTGAAACTCCCATGACTTTTCAATTTCTTTCTAATAATAATTATAAGTTGGTTAATAAGGTTAAATAAATTTCAAACCTAAAGTGTAATCACATATAAACTAAATTTCAATATTAAAATAATATATTTACTTCTACTTATTAAGAGATTTTTTTTAACTTTTAACATATTATAATTAATTTATTAGTTTTAATATATTGTTGGATGTAAACCATTATCATTTTAAAGATAAAATTTTGGAACAATTTGTATAAAATACTTAAATTATTAATTTGAATATAACATTACAGATTCAACTTAAATATAAATTTTAGTTTAACTTAAACAAACCAAATAATATTTGTAAATAGTTAAAAGCGATTAATTGTAGTGTTTTTCTAATAATTATTATAAGGTGGTTAAAAAGGTTAAATAAATATCAAACCTAAAGTGTAATCATAAATATACTAAATTTCAATTTTATTATAATATATTTACTTCTATTTATAAAGTTATATCGTTAACTTTTAACATATTATACTTAATTTATTAGATTTAATCTTTTGTTGTATGTAAATCATTATTAGTTTAAAGCTACAACTTTTGAACAGTTTGAACAAAATATTTAAATTGTTATTCTAAGTATAACATTACAATGTCAGCTTAAATAAAAATTTAAGTTCCACTTAAAAAACCAAAGAATATTTTGTAGATAATTAAAAGTGATAAATTTTAGTGATAAATGTAAAAACTAAATTATAATATCAATCTAACTAAAATATTTCCTAAAAATATTTTTATAATCGTTAAAAGTTTTCAAATAAGTAGATTAAAATAACTTACAATAACAATAGTTAAAAATAACTCTATATAAATAGTTATATTGTTACCTTTAAAATCAAAAAATAATGTTCGGTGTTTTTAATAATTATAATGATAGAAATTAAAACATTAAACAAATAAATTTTAAAAAATTAATTAATAATAACAACAACTATAAATAACATTAAACCTTATATATTATTTAATTTTATTTATGTGTAACTCATTGGTAGATGTAATTCAAACGAATGAAATTATGAAGTTACAATAGGTGTATATATTATCATATAATTCAAAATAATCAATATATTATATCAATTTAGTATATACAAATTATTGTATCAAATTTAACAACAACGTTATTATTATATTAAACAAACATATATTTGTAAATACTTCAACTATATAAGTGTTTCTGCACAACGCGCGAGCATTCGCCTAGTGTGTGTATATATATATATATATATATATATATATATATATATATATATATATATATATATATATATAGTTACAAAAACAGTAGTTAAAAATAACTCTATATAAATTATTATATTGTTACCTTTAAAATCAAAAAATAATGTTCGGTGTTTTTAATAATTATAATGATATAAATTAAAACATTAAGCAGATAAATTTTAAAAAATTAATTAATAATAACAACAACTATAAATAACATTAAACCATATATTATATTTAATTTTATTTATGTGTAACTCGTTGGTAGATGTTATTCAAACAAATGAAATTATGAAGTTACAATAGATGTATATATTATCATATAATTCAAAATAATCAATATATTATATCAATTTAGTATATTAAATTTAATAACAACGTTATTGTTGCATTAAAAAACATATATTTGTAAATACTTCAACTATATAAGTGTTTCTGCGCAACGCGCGAGCGTTCACCTAGTATGTATATATATATATATATATATATATATATATATATATATATATATATATATATATATATATATATATATATATATATATATATATATATATATATATATATAAGAAAGTTCAACCCTAACTCCTAATAAACTCATAGAAGCCACACTCTTATTTTTAACAAACAACAACTTCGGTCATGTTTGATAGTTTCTGTCTGGGAAAGTGTTGTCCGGTAAAGTGCTGTTTGGGAAAGTTTTCTGACTGAAAAAGAAACCATGCTATTTGATTATGTATCTGATTGACTATACTGAATGATGAAAAAAATTAATAAAAAATAAAAAAATAAATTTAAAAAAAGTTATTTAAAAAAAATCCAAAAAAGAAAGAAAGAGGCGGAGTTTGGTGTATAATTGTCTTTCTAGCCCATTCAGCCAGAATAATATGATTTTGGGGCTTTCTGAGAAAGGCATATCTTACCGGGAAAGACATTTTTTTTTTTGTGCAAATCAAACAGTCTTTCCGGTCCATTCAGCCAGAAAGATCTATTTGGACCTGAAAAGATGTGTATCAAACGGGACTGAAATCATCTATCTCTTCACAGTCGCGTTGAAAACCGCGGTCATTCTCGCCGAGAACTTCTACATCATCTTTTGTGGCATCAAAAATATCTCAAGCAATGTCCATATTTCCATACGTTTCATTATAAACATTTGCTCCGTAATAGAGATCAAATTTATCATTCAAGTCAAAGTTTTCATGTATATTAGGAGTAACAATTGCATTAAAACTAACTTTCTTAAACAAAAAACAAAAAACGAGTAAAACGGGTCTAAACAATTTTTAAAACAGGATGACGTTTCATCAAACATACAAAATGTTGCAATAAAAAACTTACCATATACATTACCCATATTCATTTTATCGTTTATGCATCATTTTGATATCATTTTCCTAGGGACGGATGCAGGATTTTATAGTAGGGGTTGCACATGAGAGTTTGGGGTTGGACGGTAGTAGAAAAAATAAAAATTTCGAAAATTTTTGAAAATTTTTCCATTGCGGCCGGAAAAGTTAAGGGTTATCGGTGCCACCGTCAACCACCCCTAGGTCCGTCCCTACATTTTCCACCGTTACCGTACAATATGATTTTAAAAAGGTTTTTATGTTAGGGAGCTAAAAGAAAGTGGTGAAGTTAGAATATTTAGAGAGAGAGAGAGAGAGGGAGAGAGAGAGAGAGAGAGAGAGAGAGAGAGAGAGAGAGAGAGAGAGAGTGAGAGAGAGAGAGAGAGAGAGAGATTAAACTTAGGGACTTATATGGGAAAATAGCAAAAGAAGGTGCCAATCTTGCAACTTTTGGTAAAGCTTAGGTACCATTTTTGTATTTCACTCTAAAATATTATTAATATGCGTCTCCAATCATAGACGGATTATATGGAGTGAATAACTTTTAAAAACACTCAACAGTCAACGCTCGGTCGACGCCGTTCTCCATCTTCCATGATCAAACACAACACACAGATGGCTAATTTCCATGAAAAGAGTAACGTCTACGAATGATCGATCTGGTTTGTGCTTTTTCCTTCTGTTTGAGTACAGCTTATTGATTGCATCTAATGCTCTTCACTTCAATACCTGATTATATACTTCGATTCGTACTTTACTTTTAACCTTCCGGATGTTGGATTGTTTGATAATTTCTCATCATTTCCGTGTTGATAGCTGTGGAAATTTGCAACAGTTGAATTCTTATGGCTGATTGTATTTATATCCACTAAACTTTGACTTATGGAGTCAAAGGTAGTCATGGATTCCGCCTTTTTCACATATGATTTTGGACGCGATTGTGCAGTTGATAGCAGTAATTCAATTTCTCAATTTATCTTGTTTGTATCAAGATCTTGTCGTCGTCTCCTTCCTTAGAACTTAAAAGCAAGATTCATCATGATTTTATTTTCCTATTGTTGCAGATCCAAGTCTATACCATAACGAATTGTACCTGTAAAAGAAAGAAAGGGATTAATTAATCTATAAAGATCTCAAATGGCAGATGCTGTGGTTGAATTTCTGTTGGAGAATTTGAAGCAACTGCTACTCTACAACTCGGATGTAATATATGGAGTAAAGGGCCAAGTTGATTCTCTATACAGAGAACTCAGTTTGATGAATACATTTCTCAAAGATGCAAAAGAGAAATGTAACGAATATGAATATGTAAGAGAATTAGTGAGACAAATCAGAGATGTAGCTTACGAAGCATAAGACATCATTGACACATTTGTAGTTAACTCAGCCATGCAGAAAGAGAGAAGCACCTTCAGTAGAATCATCCACGTATTTGATTACCCCACAAAGCTTCGATCTGTTGCAAAAGATATCGAATCCATCAAGACAAAAGTGAAGGAGATTTACGACAACAAGATGTTTGGCATTGAAGCTCTTTACACTGTCGAATCTTCAAACAGAGCTTCTTGTTCATCACAAAGAAGAAAACCCATGATTGAGGAAGACAATGTTGTTGGTTTTGATGAAGAGACAAAAGAGTTAGTGAGTCGACTCACTAATATCTCCGAGTTGCTTTAAGTTGTGTCGATTGTGGGTATGGGTGGACTTGGGAAAACAACTCTTGCGAAGAAGGTGTTCTATGATCCCGCCATTGAATTTCACTTCTTTGTGCATTCTTGGGTTTATGTTTCTCAAGAATTCAACCAAAAGGAATTACTTCTTGCCATATTAACTTCAGTTGTTGATTATCCTTCTGAACAAATGTATAAACTGAATGAGGAAATGTTGGTTGAAGAAATATACAAACATTTAAATGGTCGAAGATATCTAGTTGTGCTCGATGATGTGTGGACCCCAGATGCATGGAATGATCTTAAAATGGCATTTCCAAACCAAAACTATGGAATTAGAATCCTATTAACTAGTCGTAACACAGATGTGGCTTTAATTGCAAACCCCGATAGCCTCCCACATCATTTGAAGTTTCTGAATGATGATGAAAGTTGGGAGCTGCTTTCTACAAAAGTTTTCAGAAGAGGAAGTTGTCCATTTGAGCTTGTTGAACTTGGTGAAACGATTGCTAGAAAATGCTACGGATTACCTCTTGCGATTGTGGTAGTTGTTGGGCTTTTATTGAAGAAAGATAAGACGCGTGATTTGTGGAAAAAAGATGCCGAAAGTGTTAGTTCGTATGTTGCAAGAGATCCGAAACAATGCATGAATGTATTAGCATTAAGTTATAAGCATTTACCTGATCATTTAAAGGTGTGTTTCATTTATTTCGGTGGTTTTCCTGAAGATTTCCCGATACCCGTTTGGAAACTGCTAAATTTATGGGTGGCAGAAGGGTTTATTCAACAGAAAGGTCAAGATTGTTTGGAGGATTTAGCGGAAGATTATTTGGAAGATCTTGTTGAACGCAATCTGATATTAGTTGCTAAGAGGAGATCAAATGGAAGGATTAAAACATGTCGTGTTCATGATATGTTACGCGATTTATGCCTCAAAGAAGCTTCAGAAGAAAAGTTTTTGGAAGTAATCAAAGGGCATCAAATTCTAGATTCAAATTCGCTAATAATCCCTTATCACCGACGTCTTTGTGTTCATTCACATGTCATGAACTTTATTCACTCCAGACCTTGTGGACCCTGTTGGGTATAATCTTGATGTGGAAGATTGAGTTGAATAAAAAAATAATGGGTCATAGCTTTGACCGATATGCATGGGTATCATGGAGATCATGTATGCATGTTGCGTAGAAAAGGTCCTTCATGACCTGGTTTTTAGGATGATTAGTATTTAGTTTGTTTTCTTTTTTTATCACGTGGTGTGTAAGGCCTATATAAGGCATATGTTTGTTTTCAATAAAGAAGGGGTGTAGAGTTTTAGTACTTCAGGACGCCTATATAAGGCATATGTTTGTTTTCAATAAAGAAGGGGTGTAGAGTTTTAGTACTTCTCCTGTCATTGTTTATTTAATCTCTCCTTCTTTTATCTTTGTTTGTATATAGTAAACAAACGGTTGCAGGTTTACATTCTACATTTGGTATCAGAGCCCTAGGCTCAACACGTGGGATCTTTGAAGAGGTTCTATGTGAATCTGTTGCTGTTGCGGTTCTGTGTGAGCCGAAGCTCTGTGTGAGTCGAGTTTATAATCCAAGAATCTGTGTGAAGAGAGTTTTTTTTTTAACAACAATCTGTGTGAGATTAATTTGTGTGAGAGAGAGGTTGTGTGCTGAACGAGTTCAACCAAGAAAAACTGTGTGATTGAGTGTTGTGAGAGTTGAAGGAAAGCTGTGTGCTGAATCCAAGTTCTGGGTGAACCAAGAAGAAAAGAAACCTGTGTGGTGAAGCTAACCTGTGTGGGGAAGCCAATCTGCGTGAAGAAGTTAGTCAAAGTGGAAAAGAAGATCAGAAAACAAGATTTGTGGTGCACCTACAAGTGTGTGTGGATAGTTTGAAGAAAAAAAAAGAGATCGAAAATAATTCAGATATGTGTGATCTGTGTGTGTGATCTGAATTGTTTGGTCCTGTACAAGAAGAAAGGTGAAGTAAGAGAAGATGCCAGCAACAAACCCGGGAGGTTCAAGTCAGATTGTACCCTTGAGCAATCAAAGTATCCCGCTGCAATGCCCCAAGTTAACAGCTACAAACTATACAAGTTGGTCGATTATGGTGGAGTCGATCCTACAAGCATATGGTTTATGGGAAGCGGTTGATCCGGAAACGGGAAGGGTGGTGGAAGCAAAGAAAAAACTAATGGCAAGAGCATTTGTGTTTCAAACTCTACCTGAAGATATATTGCTTCAAGTGGCTAAGCATAAGGATGCAAAAGATGTGTGGGAAGCGCTTCGTGTGCGGTATTTGGGAGCCGAAAGAGTTCAAAAGGCGAGACTGCAAACACTTAGAACCGAGCTAGAGATGTTGAAGATGAAAGAGGGTGACACGATCGATGAGTTTTCGGGGAAACTTAGTGAAATTGCATCCAAATTCAAGAGTCTTGGGTCTAGCTTGGAGGATGAGATAGTGGTAAGAAAACTACTAAATTCAGTTCCTAAGAAGTTTTTGCAGATTGTTGCATCGATTGAGCAATACTCCGAGATAGAGGACATGTCACTTGAGGAAGCTGTGGGAAGGTTGAAGGCATATGAAGAGAGAATCAAGGTTCTTGATGAAGATGATAATGACCAAAATCAAAACAAACTTTTATTGTCAAAAGAAGAATGGGAAGAGAGAACCAAACGTGGTAACTTCAATCAAGATCAATCTGGACAAGGAAGAGGTCGGGGTCAAGGAAGAGGTCGTGGCAGAGGTCGAGATGGTCGGTTCCAAAGCTATGAAGATCGAATGGAGCAAGGTATGTATCGAGACAAGAGACATATTAAATGTTATAATTGTCAAGAATATGGACATTATGCAGCTGAGTGTCCTAAGAAAGAAATAAAGGAAGAAGAAGCTAATATGATTCAAGATGATGATGAGCCAGCACTGCTTTGAGGAATCAGATTACTGTCAAGATTAGGGGGGTGATTGTTGGGTATAATCTTGATGTGGAAGATTGAGTTGAATAAAAAAATAATGGCTCATAGCTTTGACCGATATGCATGGGTATCATGGAGATCATGTATGCATGTTGCGTAGAAAAGGTCCTTCATGACCTGGTTTTTAGGATGATTAGTATTTAGTTTGTTTTCTTTTTTTATCACGTGGTGTGTAAGGCCTATATAAGGCATATGTTTGTTTTCAATAAAGAAGGGGTGTAGAGTTTTAGTATGGAGATCATGTATGCATGTTGCGTAGAAAAGGTCCTTCATGACCTGGTTTTTAGGATGATTAGTATTTAGTTTGTCATTGTTTATTTAATCTCTCCTTCTTTTATCTTTGTTTGTATATAGTAAACAAAAGGTTGCAGGTTTACATTCTACAGACCCCACGTTCGTTCTTTTCTTTGTTTTCCTTGTGAGGAAAAGGAATTATCTCGAGAACATACGTCCTTCATCCATGAATCTTTTAAATTGGTTCGAGTTATAGACATGATGTCAATAAACATTTCCCGATTCCCGATTGAAATCACACAACTCGTTTATCTTCGCTACATCGCGCTTTTTGGCAATTTTAAAGTTGTTCCTCCATCGATTTCAAAATTATGGAGTCTTCAATCTTTAATTGTTGAGACAACATCACGTGATCTTGACATTCAAGTTGACATATGGATAACGAATACTCGTTTGTACAAAGAAACATACAAACCATCTCCGCGATTTCACCCGATAGTTGCATTGAAAACATCTTAGCGAGAACTCCCAATCTTAAAAAACTTGGAATTCGTGGAAAACTTTCATTACTCATGGAGGAAAAGAGATCTAGAATTACTTGTACTCCAAGTTTGTTCGACAATTTTGCTAAGCTTGATAACCTTGAAAAATTAAAATTATTAAACGACACTTTCCCACGTCCGCCACCTTAAGGTAAACTTCGGGGTCTTCCTTCACTCTACAAATTCCCTCCAAATTTAAACAAGTTGAATTTATCAGACACTTTATTGGATTGGAAGCATATGTCTACGATAGGGATGTTGCGACATCTTCAAGTGCTTAAACTAAAGGTGTATGCATTCAAGGGAGCTGAATGGGATGCTCTTGATAGGGGTTTTTGGCTGCTTAAAGTGTTGCAAACTAGGAAGACTGATTTGGTTGTATGGAAGGCTTTGGGTCATCACTTCCCGAGACTAGAACATGTTGTTATTGAACAATGTAGCAACTTGTTGGGTATTCCTGTTGGTTTGGCAGAGGTATCTGCACTAAAGAGTTTGGAGTTGTGTCATACACCTTCTGTAGTAGATTCTGCTCGTTTAATTCAACAACAAAAGAAAATGCAACAACAAATGTTTGTCACAAGTCATGGGTTTAAGCTCGTAATTTATCCTCCCGAATAGTAGCATCAACTCCAATTTATAATACACATATAATAATAATGTAGGAATGATGAAGACTACAACTTCACGATCCATTCGTCTGTTTTACAATGTTTTGCTTCTGGTAATTTATGCATCTTGTCTTGACGATTTTTTCTATATGGTTTGATCGAGGGCCAATAAGCTTTGTTAATGTAGTTTTTATTTAGCCTTGTCATGTGTAGTAATTGTTTTATGATTGTAGTTATAATGATATGTATCGGGTTTTCAATGATGTATCAAAAAAAAAAGTATCAATTTTTATGTTACTTTATATCAAAATGTCTTTAGTTGTAGAGACTGATTCTAAGGGGGTCAGAGGTGTCCCATATCGAAGAATGTTGTTGGTGAATAATAGAAATACAAAACTAGAGGTGATACTATATTAGTATCATACAAAATGTGTGTTTGGTAACTCTAGCCGGTAATTGTTAACCGGAAGCTTTTAGATTTTATTTGTTATATAAGTGTTTGACAACCAGAAGCTTTGGAAATGTAAAAAATTACATAAAAGAGCACGTGTGTAAAAGCTTAATGTAAAACAAAAAAAAATACAATTCTAAAAATTAATTAAAAAAGATAATTAAGTCAATTTGCAAAATTATAAAAGTCATTCATATTTAAAAAAAAATAAGAATAATTAAGTCAATGTAGTCCGGATGAAGAAGGCAGTCACCTACACCATGGAAGTAGAACCCATGCTCGAAGCTTCCAAACATGGAGAGTCGCTCTACACACCTCGGTGGGCATTACATCCACCACAAGCCAACCCCCTTCATCCTTATATATCAATGGCATCATTAATCTCCAATGACATCATTAATCTACGGTATTAACCTTTTTTCCAACTTACGTTGTCAATTTGTGTGCATTCCATTGGTGATAATGGTGGACATTTTAACTACCGGAAACAAGTAGATAACGGTGGACGTGAAGATGGTGATGATGGTGGTAAATTTAGTTAAAAGAGTAATTATTATTTTTCAGAAATAACAAAATCCATGAAAAAAAATATTATACCATATCTTGGTAATTATTATATATTTTAAAAGCTCGTACTTTTGAACGGAACTTTTTATTAAAATTGAGTTTTTTGCTAAAAGTTAAATGGCGTCTACGAGAAAACTAGCTGGTGGCTAGAAGATGAAAGGTGTAGCTTTCATTTATATATGAGTATTCGACAAAAATAGATGAAAACTATTAAAGCTTATAAAACTATATAAAATGAAATATCTGAAACACATAATTAATTTTAAAAGAGGGTAAATAAGTCAATTTGCCAATTATAAAAAACCTTTTTGTTAAACGCTACTTGAAATAGCTTTTGAATTTAAAGTTTTTTGTTTTAGCTACAAGCTAAAAGCTTTCATAAGCCCGTAACCAAACACACCATAATTTGTACATGTTTTGTCTCTGTGTGTGTGTCTATATATGAAAAAATAGATGAAAACTTTTAAAACTTATAAAACAATATAAAATGAAATATCTGAAACACATAATTAATTTTAAAAAAGGGTAAATCAGTCAATTTGCCCAATTATAAAAAAGCTTTTTGTTAAATGCTACTTGAAATAGCTTTTGAATTTAAAGTTTTTTGTTTTAGCTACAAGCTAAAAGCTTTCATACGCCCATTACCAAACACACCATTTAACCACCACCTATCTTCTCACTCTCGACGCCTCCTCTCTCTCGATCTCCATATGTTTCA